ACTGCGTGTTAACTAAAATACAAACTTATCTCACACATTTACCTGTCCGCCTATCTGACTACGCTACACATTCTGTTTAGTTTGTTTTCCTTAACACTCGTTGGGGAATTCAGGCTTAGTTTATTAGTTTGGAGTTGGCTAGTTGGAACGCTGAGAGGTCTTTTCAGTTCTACTGATTCCATGTCCTCTTTTATAGCCCAACCCCCAGAAGTCTTAACTGCCCCTTTGAGAAAATGGAGCTAGTGAAATCAAAACTAGGTGAACATAGACAATGGGTTCAATATTGAAATACTTGTAGAATCATGCCTGGAAGGGACCAGAGGGAACTCCTCTGGCTCAGCCCTCTCCAGCATTCAGGGTGCCATTTACAGCATCCATGAGCTGGCTGGCCAGCCTACAATGCTTGGAAATGAAGCTGCTAAGATGAAAAAGAGGCCCTGGATGTTGTCTCTGTTACGCGGGTGCTATGAGCTTTTCTGATCAGTTTTTCTGGAGGCCAATTCTAATTTCATGTCAAAATTACTGGAGGGTTAATTGTTAAGTATTTCAAAAGTTCCTAGGAAATACTCCTGTTGATATCATGCAAGGTTGACTAACCTACATGAACACAGGAATTACCTACTTGGTTAAATAAATCAAGACTGAAGAAGAAGCCGTGTTGTTTTAGAGATGCAACGGTACAGAGCCGTCAGTACTTTGAAAACATTAAACTATTCTAGGGCCTCTGTGCTGTCTGCCCTTCAGGTAAATCTGATGCCTGCAGGTGGCGAAGGCTGCAAGTTCAGCGGGAGAGAAAATCAGACATCCAACACAACGGATAAGCAGCCCCCAAAGTCATGATTTATTAATATCTGGAGAAGCTTCATAATTTGAACACAACCCAAAATGTACATTTTACAATCACACACTATTTGTAAACAGTTAAAAAGCCACTGACAACTTTTGCATCTTCAGACACAACAGTTAGAATCAAGGCAATGAAATGAGAGCATCTTTCGGCACAGTTAAAAGGTTTTTTTTTATCCTTGTTCAGTATTTCATTCTCTGACTAAACAAGCATCAGATAATACCATTTGTGGCAAAAAAAAAAGGAAGATGAGTTTTAACACTTCACAAGAAAAGTATTTGCAGGAACTTTTTAAACATTTAAAATTTATACAACGAAGTTCTGTAATTCCAAATCCTTGGCTACAGTCTGCATAGTTACTTCAGCTTTTAAGGTTAAACATGAAACAGAGCCACAAGAGCAGGAAGAGCATCAATGGCACAAGGGAGGGGGGAGGGGAGAACGGGAAGGGGGGAGCCGGGGGGGGGGGCGCTTTATGAAAAGAGGGAACTACAGTTTACCAGCCAAGCCCCCCCCCTTCCCCCCTCCCTCCCCCACACTATTAAAAAGACAGCATTGGAAAGCACAGAATGTCAAACTCCAGCGAATCGAAGCAATTTTTGGCAGAAGTCATTTTACCGAGCAAGTAATAATCAGTGCTAAAAGTTATTTATTTTTTTTTCCTATAAGAAACTAGGAGGAGTTCTACTGGGGACTTTCGTTTTCCTGAGAGCCAGGCTCTTGGATTGGGAGGGAGAGGGCGTTTAGAAAAAAAACCAATGGAACGTTGGCCGCGCACGGCCCGAGATTCCCAGAGATCAAGAGGAAGCATCTTTTTATCATCCACATCTTTTTGTTTTTTTAAAAAATAGTTAAGTGATGGAAGAGTAAACATTTGTTTCTTAAAAAAAGAGAAAAGGAAAAAACTTCTGTAAACAAGGCAGTGCCCCAACAGGAGCCCCCCCCCCACAAAAAAATAAAAAGACAAAAAAAACCAAACGCCTCTTGAAAGTGCAGGGCGCCACCCGGGCGGTGCAGCCAGGCATGCAGCTTCGGGAGCTGCCGAACTCCGTCCGTCCATCCGTTTCCACAGGAGCCGGCAGGTGCAACACGTTTTCGTCCGTCATCCTGGCAGGCTCTCCTCCCCCGACTGTTTGGCACCACGGACGGCCAGGAGGTGCCGAGTGGCCAGGCAGGCAGACACCCGCAGGGGCATCGGGGCTCGTCCTGACCCAAAACGGCCACCCCCTCGCCCGCCACAGAACATTGGCCCCGGGGGGGGGGGGGCTGCCACCGCTCCCATGGTGGGGAGGGGGGGGGAGGAGCAAGTCTGTGCAAAACTTTAAAAAAGACCCAAACCCCAAAAGTTTGCAGGAGGGGCCAAAAGGGGGGGGGGGGGGGGGAGGGGGTGGAAATGAAGGAAAACAAGAAAGTAAACTGATCTTATGTAGGAAACTGCTGAACGATGCCATGTACTACCTGGAAATGTAAATCTTTTTCACTTTTCACATTATAATATTGGCCTGCATGATTCAAGTATTCAAACTGGTATGTTTTGGGCTAAAACAAAGGAACAAATGTGCACGACGTAACCATTTCCACAGTTGACCCTTAGAGGCTGTAGGTGGGGGGGGGGGGGCGGGGGGGATCCAAATTTAGTGCTGCTTTGAGGTCACAGTTCCCCTCTCCCCCCCTCCACTGAAAGCAGGTTACATGGAGTCCCCCCCGGCCCCCAGATGGTCAACGGAGAGGAACGCATTGAGCGGGGAGGGGCTGCCAAGGCCCCTGGTGTCGCTGCTGCCCAGGGAGCCCCAGAGGCTGCTGGAATAGTTGGGGCTGCCCCACAGGGAGGTGCCGTGGAGGTCCCCACCACTCGTCCCTGAAAGCCCGGGGCCGCTCCAGGGAGGGGCCAGGTCACTGCGGTTGGAGAACGCGTGGGGGCCGTCCATGCTCCCCAGGCGGGTCTGGCTGGTGCCCAGAGATTGCCAGGCGGGGGTCGGGGTCACAGACGGGCCTTGTGCAAAGAAGCGGCTAATCTCCTCTTCGCTGGCAAACTCAGCCAGAATTGTAGTGTTCCCGAGGACGCACCTGTTCACAAAGCCAGCAAGAGGCAGGTGAGATGGCAGCAGGCTGGCAAAAGGCACAGAACCTCCCCCTGAAACCCCAGGCCCCCCCAGCCCCACCCTGTGACTGCATCCTCCTCCTCCTCCTCCTCTTCTAAAGGCCCTCAAAAACAACAATTTATAACTACCGTGT